GGGATGAATATGCCAAGTGCTTGCAGTGTGTGCTAATGTCTAAAAATATTTTGCTTTGTGTCCTCCTTGGTTTTAGTTGTGGCTCCAGTAGCATAAATTATGGTGTAGGCCTTTTGTTATTGGGAGGAAAGTGTCTGGAGCTGTTAATGCTGAAGTTGGTTTACTGGTTTTTAGTAAAGTGCAAGTGTACAGCCTGATGAATATTAAGCTAATTATGGAGTGAGGAATATAGGTTTTTTTTTCCTTGAGTGATTATATATCTTGTCAATATTTTGGTTGTGTAAGCCAAGCATTGCCAAAGAAATCCTGAAGCTGTAAGTTACAGTTAGCAAACCATCCATCCTTTATCATCCATCAACCCAGCACATTAAGTTTGGTGCATATCTGTTGCTACTTCAGACTCATAAAAGAGAAAATTATTTACCTGGTAACACATGGCACTGATTTATTCACTGGTGGGCACTCAGTTACTTCTTTGAGGTCAGTACCAGTTCTTGCAGTCAGCACACACCATCACAGTGTCACTGTGAAGCCTTTTCTTGTTCCTTGTTCATACTTGAGGAACCTCTTGTGGTGTCACCCCCACAGCAAAACACATTTCTGGGTTGCAGAGCTGTGACCTCAAGGAACAGAGTGCCCTGGTTTTGTGTCTGCTGTTCCCACTGGCTGCAGCAGGGCTCGTGCCTGTGTGGTGACCTGCATTTCTGAAGTGCTGGCTTTAACCAGAGGAATTAATGGGTGAAGTTATTGCTCTGGGGATCTGTTTGCTTCTAAGACAATAAAACAAACTGGGGCATTGCTTTGCCCTTAGAGAAGTTGGTGCTGTGGGGGTGAAGGAAGATGTTATCACCTGGACACTGAACTACACCACACACACCCCAGAACTTGTTCTGCAGCTTTCACTGACCTGCCTTTGACTCCACGGGTCCTTCAGAATTGGTTTGAGTAATTTTGTTACTTGGCTTTCTAAAATGCTTTATCTAAAGATATGGTGGATCTCGACTGAGAGGGAGGTTCTTATGCAAGGGTTGACAAGTATTTATAAAGTGCATTTCTATTAGACAGTATCTTTCAATTCTAGCTTAAAAATGCTGTTTTCTGTTTAGTCCCAAATTTTACGTTGGTATGGATTATTAGCAGTCAGCACTTTAGAGCCTTTAGAGCTTTTGTCAAATTTAAATCCAATGGGAGCTTGAAAATTTGTCTTTTGAATGAAATTATTAAAAATTAATTCTAAAGCAGTCCCCAAGTAATTTCAAAATGTTGTAAACCCTTCACTTAACACGGCTGTCGATGTGGAAGATTGTTATGAGTACAGACTGCCAAGGCAGTAGAAGCTCTCCCTGAATTCCAAAGAAGGCAGTTGTTAAAATAGACCTTATGGCAGTTTCAGATGAAATGAGAGAAGAACCAAACCAGGTTTTCATTCTGTCTCATTTTCTTTGTTCACTAAATTATTTTTGCTTAGTTGTTTCATGTCTTGACATATTTTTCTTGCATTCAGTCGTTGTGTCTTCTCAGAAATAAAATTATAATATGAAATAAAAATCTCTTTCAGGAACTTGCATTGCAACACAGGAGTTGAGACCCCACCCCTGCAGGGAGGGAGGACAGGATCTCTGATACCACTTTGTATAAAGAGTCTGTCTCAGACCTGAGACTATGATTTTTGTGGTGGACAATGTTCTTACATACTTCACACAAAAAGGAAAACAAATTTGGCTTGTACATGCAGAGTTTTATAGTTTCCATAGCTTTTCATAACAGTGCTAATCCCAGACTTTAATTAATCAATTAACTAATTAATTATAAAGCTTTGTGTTCAAAATAAAATCTGTTGGGTATTTGCAACCTTGATACCACAGTCTCCAGCCACTGAGAAAAGTCACAAATAAAATCAGGAGAAAGTGTTTTTTATTTCTGAGTCTGGGTGAAACACATGTAATTATTTAAATAATCTGTTCATTTTTATGGCCATTGTTTGATACAGTTTGAAAGAATAAAACCTTTTTTCCATACTAATTCCCTAGCCTTCTCCAAGTGACTGCTGCAGACGTTGGTCAAAATAAATGAGTAATATTGCATTGCAAAGTCTACAGTCATTGGGGTTTTTTAAATTTGGGTCATAAGCTTCAGCAGTGTCAGTGTGTTACTGAGCTGGGTAATCTCACTGCATGATAACATGTGCTTTGAACAGTAAGAGTGAAAGGAAGGTTTTTAATGCATAGTATTTTATGTATTTCACCTGTGTTCAAATACAACTTTTGAAGTAAGGAAGACCTAATGAAATTTGCCCTGTGTTCAGTCTTTCACCCAAAGGAGATGATATCTGTGACACTCAGGGTTGCAGTGACCACATCAATGTGACTTTGATGGTTGAATATAAGAAAGCCTTTGAGAAGCAGTAAAACTGAAACACAGAGCTCCGGGGGAGGTGAAGGAAAGCTCTGGAAATTCAGTGTATTTTAAAGGGAAACGATGCACACGTGTGCCAGAACCTTTCTGTGCCTCCTGCTGGTTTCACTCCCAGTGACACTCCTCAGGCAGGGAGCAGAGCTGAGCCCAGGGCAGGTGGTTTCCCTGGCTTGGTGGATCTCCTGGCTCTTCCAGGGATGGTTCCCTTCAGTCCTGCTGTCCCAGGAAAGGTTCACATCTCCCTGTTGTCCATGGAGCGATGTCCATGGGGTGGGAGATGGGAGTGGTGCTTTTCCCCCACACCAAGGATCTTAAAACAAAGCTTAAAAAAGCTGTTGTGATTTCATGATCTCGGTCATATCTGAGAACTCTCTGGGTCGTTCTGCCCGTGGCAACACTCAGGTGTTCATCTGGTTTTCAACAGGAATTTGCATGATTGGCTTCATCCCTCATGGTTTTCTTTCTTTGTAGTTCAGTTTGTAAGTGACTGAGGGAAGCACAGAAGTTTTCCTACTCAGAATGCAGAGTGTGCAGAGGAGCACTTGGCATGTTCCTACTTTCTGTTTGGTCCCAAATCCTACCAACCTTCTCAAATGTCACTAATCTGGAGCACAATACTGGCTACTGATGTTCTGATGAGAGTTTCAGAGCCCACATATAATTCCATCATTTCTGTAGCCTTGATGCCACAATAAATAGATATTCAAATGTTAAATCTACACATCTGCAGCAAGTAGTGTTCCGTGTGCTACATGTTCCTGATATGTGATACCCACCTCAATCATGGTGGTTATTTTACAGATTATTTTGGGGGGAGATGACACACTTTTATTTCTCACTAAGAAGACAGGAAGAGAACATGCTTTGTGGAGAATGTTCTGATTCTGTAAGATAAGATAAAAGATAACACTTGTGCAGAGAATAAGGAGTAGTCTAGAAAAACAATCTTAGTCTCTATAAAGATAAAATGGGGTGAATTTGCTCTGTGTTGTATTTTATTTGCAACTGAACTTCAACACTAGTCATTACATTCTGGGTCAAATTCCCACCTGCAGTTTAAAGGAACTTCAGTAATTTCAATTTCTTGTCTTTAGCAGCTATATTTTCTTTTTGCCCTTGTTCTTACATCCAGTCAGGTCATTGAGCTTGAGAGATACTCTGAGTTCAGTTCTGCTTTGTAACATCTTGAGCTGCATATTTTGTAGGGCAGCATGAGAGGAACTGGTACTCACTGTTGCTGTTTGAACAAACACTGCAAAGTTTAATCCCAGTGCAGCCGTAAATATTTTATCTAAGTGCAGATGACTGGGCAGCCTGCATAATTTAACAGTGTCAGGTAATGAAAATTATATTTATGTGTTAAGATACTTCTCCCATTTTTTCTGCAGTTATTCCTGATCTGTGGTTTGTGTACTGTTGATTTGTACTTTCATTTTTTCTGCACTGTGTATTTTACAATTGTCTGTTCCAGCTGATTATGACTGGAAAGAAGCATGTGCAATATTTATAGGTGCAACCTGAACATTGGGTAGTTATTACTGTGTTATATTATCCTTCTGGCTTTGTGCTTTACCTGAAAGTCTAATGCTTTACTTGAATTACACTAAAATGTATAGTTTTTCAAAGAAAGTTACTCTTATGTCCATGCATTTTCATTTGGCAATTAAGTATTTTGCTTTGCAGTAATTCTAACATGACCAATAATTGGTTTTTTACCATTTGAGTCATCAAAGATGTTGTTAATGATGTAAAATGAATACACTTTCGTTTCATGTGGTAGGTTAAGAATTATATTTAACTGTGAAACTTCTGAACTGTGGGAGGTGGCACGTTTGCAGATGAGCAATGCAGATACAGCCTAAAAATGACAAGTTACTTGAGTGAAAACTTGAGACTTGGGAAGTGGAAATTGGTAATTCCTAGAGTGTATGGGATCATCTTTAGTTAGGAAGAGAAGGCAGGCATTAAATTAACATGTTTGTTTTGCTTTGTGTGATGAGACACCTTGGACTTGGCCTTGCTGTTCCCACAAGAACTGCACAGTTCTGAGTCCTCAATGTTTGTGTGATGCCCTTTTAATAAAATTCCACACTCTGCAGTATCCAGGCTCAAAAACTGTTTGGGCTGGAGGGAGGAGAGGCGGCACCAAACTGTTCCATATCCCATAAATCCAGAGTGACATGTCCCAGGGCCAGAAGGGTTAGAATGTCAAGTTGAGGTTTGAACCCTCAGCCTGCTGCTCTCTCAGGGTGTCTGTGGATGTGTTCACACACATGGGCTTCCCTAAACAGTGTTATTTACTCTCTTCTGCAGAAATAGTGTTGGGAGACAGGAGGTGCAAAACTGCAAATGGAGGTGGAGTTAAAGCACGTCCCACTTTGTTTCTAGGGGAACTGAACACAGTAAGATCTACAGTGCTGACAGCAAACTGAACCAAACCAAACCAAAACTCACTGAATTCAAAAAAAAGTTGTTCAGTCCGTGCACTTAAAAAAAGGGAAGTTGTAGCCCATGTACTGTTTGACAGTTATGAGTAAACTCTGTAGTAAATAATTACATTCAGCATCTGGATTTTTGTTTTGCAGAACACCAGCTCAGTAACTGTGCCAGAAACATTGCTGTTTGTCTCAACCCTGGATGGCAGTTTGCATGCTGTGAGCAAGAGGACAGGAGCCATCAAATGGACTTTAAAAGAAGGTGAGCAGGAGGTGTCCTAGTACCCTCAATAGCAGTAATAACAGACAAATTAATGGGTAATTCCAACTGTTGTAGGACCTGGTAAATACTTTCTTAATTTTGCTCTTGTTCCAGAATTAAGCTACAGTGTTTCTGGAGTTATGTTCACCTTCATAATTTCACTTGCAGATGTTTTCCAGGTTTGTGTGTGGTGTTTTTAGGTTTGTGGGTTTGTTTGTTTGTTTGTTTTTCCCCCAGAATGTTAAAGCTGTAGTGGTATCATTGGTAGGTAACATGTTTTATGGGAATGAGTGCAATATAAGCAAGCATAGAGCAATAGATGTGTCAGCTTGTGGAGCTGATGGCAAAGGGATTGCATGATCCTGCCTCTGGAATACCCTGCATTCACTAGTACAGTGCATATCTGTAAACCTTGGGGATTTTTCCTATAATAGATGTTTGGGAATGGCACAGATTTTTAAATAAAAGCACTACACTTGTGTAAAGAAATTTAACATTGCTCAGTGACTGGAATGGATTTTGTAATTTTTATTACTGAGCAGAGCTGTCTTCATGAAAAATTTGGTAGTTAATACATATTTGGTTTATATAGTGGGACTCGTGACATATGGCAGAGGTGATAGCAGCACTTTCTCTTCACTTCTGGAAATAAATTAGATAGAAGGTCAAATGCTCAAATGCAGGGAGTCAGTGGTTGCATCATTCTGTCCTCTATTTTTAAACCTGCTCTTGGTTCAGCAGGTGAGCTGAAATGGTGGGAAATGGACTGTGCATATCTGATGTCTGCAGTACAAACCAGCTGCTGTTCTTTGTGAAACCACTCATATTGGAAAGCAAATCCAGCAGACAAAAAGTTAACTTCTTAAATGAGCAAAGGCTTTTGTAGCTCCTCTTGGAGTAAAAAGGGGGTGAGCAAGTATTTTCTTGAAGGATCCTGGTTAATAGGTGTGATGGCATTTTCTGCCCTGTCTGCTGTTAAAATTTAGACCCCTCCTTTCCCTTGCTAAGGCAAGTTATCCATCTCCTGCTTTGTTGTTGCTAGAGGCTACTGCAGTGCTAAGAGAAACTCATTCCACTGACACAAACATTCACTACTTAGTCCTGGCCTAGAAAGGTACCACAACTGGCATTAGTTTGCAGCCAGACTTACTAAGTGGCAAAGAGGTGTTTTGAGGAAGAAATGATCCCACTTTGGTAACGACAAGGATCAACAAGGATCCTTGTCAGTGTGTTGCTCAAGGAACTTCCCTTGTTTAAAAAGGTTGCAAAACTCTAGTTGGTACAGTAGAACTGCCAGACTGGATTATCCAGTTTTATAGCACTCCTTGTGTTCTCTCTGTTGCTAACTATAAATTATTCTGCAATTTATGTACGTGAAGGGTGTTCACTTGATTTTTGGAAAGCACTTATTGCCCGTTACTTTATTTCTGTGCAACAGAGCAACACACAAGGGTCAGTGAAAAAAAAATTAGTGGTAGCTGTCATTGTTCCAAGATGCCTCCTGAGTTAACTTAGCTAAGTGGACATGGAACAAGGGCCTGTGCATATAAATTGGTAAATTAATTTTTAATGGGAGAGGTTTTATTTATTTTTGCAAAACTTGCTATGATTCTGCATGTGTGGTCGCTCTGTGGGTGGGAAGCCCAACAGCTGGAAACAAATAAATCATGCAAGTCCTCACCAACTTTCTGTGCTCAATCCCTGGAGAGATTTAATAGTGCAGGATTCAGTGTTAATATTAGTGTGTGATACAGTTGCTGGGTGCACCCTCTCTGTCACCAATATCTGGCAGTGTTGCAGAGAATTACCAGTAGGAAGCTGCCTGCACTGCAGTGTTCTTGCAGGTGCCATTTTATCCTGATTACCAGAAAAATGAACCGTGTGTTGTAGCTCACGTTTGAGGAGGTCACCTGAAGTGCTGCATTGGCATCCACCAGGAAGGGAACATTTTATTACTGCACTTAAGCAGCAAGGTATTTAACAAAGGGCAATTCAGGTACATTTTATTTTCATTGGGGGAAGAAACCAAGGCACTGTTCATTATCAGGCAGTGCTTAAACAAACATGAAAATCTTGCCCTGTGTGGCTTGTTTTAATTTAATGCTGAAGCTTATCTTAGGTTTGCAGAGTAAATGAGCCAGTGCTTATCACCACAATAACGGGTTTGGGTTTCCTGCCTTCACTTAGTGCTGGCAAGAAAGGCACCTGGAATACTTGTGCTCCCCATAAAGCAAAAAATGGGTCACTTGGGAATAGGACTTTCCACTGAAATAAGGTGTGTCCCTGGGAACTTATTTGTTGAGGGTGCTCAGTACTTTCATTTCCTCTGTTGGCTTCGATGGTTCCTGCTCTCTGACAGCTCTCAGGATTTTTCAGTGACCGGGTGTAACTGTTGCTGCTCTTTCCCTGGGCCTTGGAAAGCTGGAGTATGGTTGGAAAGACTGTAGAAAGAACTCATACCTTGTGTTGAAGGCACTCGTTGGAAAGGGCATTGAAAAGCTGTGGCACATTTCGGGTCTGAGGCTAAACAAGGCTTTTGGTGCCACCTCTGACCCACACCAGGAGCCATCAGTGCCAGGTGACAGTGGGACAGGCTCCTGCAGGCTCCCTTGTTTTCTGCACTGGCCTCTAGCAAGATCCTTAGTGAACATCCTCAGTAAGGTTCCTCAGGAGGAATTATCTTCCCCAAAATTGCTGGAAGTGAAACAACTTCTGTCATTTCCTACAGACCTCTTTGGAAGCCCTGCTGGCAAGGCAGAATCAGGAGAATGCTCTGGTGTCAGACCTCGTGTTCACAGTTCTGATTTCGGTGTGAGCTTTAAGAGTGTGATTTTATGACTGTCCTATTCCCTCACATCTTTGTAAAACTCATCCTGTATGTCTCTGTTAACTCAAGGGCTTAGTTTAATGAATAGAATATTGAACTGGAGATGTTAAAGATGCAGTTGTTCTAGACTGTGCTCCTGGACAGGCTGTTTCTCTGTTCTGAGAGTCACTTCTGTGTGTCCTTCTGCACTGTTCAAAGAGATCTCTTTTCATTCAGCAGCTCCTTAAAAGCTTTTCCCTTGAGAACTGATTCAAAGTATTTGACCAGAAGAATATTTAATATATACAGATTTGGATCTAGATTTAGAACCAGCAGAAATTTTGTTACGACTCTCAGTTCTCTGCAGTAATCAAAAATTGATGGCCCACAATCAATTTAGAAGGTTTGGATTTCCAGTACCTTACTTATAACTTGTGGACTTCAGTGGACTCTGTGATAAGATAAAGATAGAAAGACTTTATCTATTAATGGGATGCCACATGTAGATTTTAAAAGGGAAAGTCTGAGATCTGTAGGTCCTGCTTTTGTAGCAGTGGTTTTTCCCAGGCAAGAAGGAATATCTTTGTAAATAGTTAGCCTAAATATATGGAAATAGCATAATTGCAAATTAGTAAGGATTGTCAAAGCAAAACAACTGTAGGACAGGATGGTTTTCAGGAATTTCCAGAGCATAGTTTGTACCTCTAACCTCATTTGCTGTGATTGCAACAGCAGGGAAGGCTGACATGGTTTTAAGTTGGCCCGTTAGCCCAGACCTTATGGTGTGGCCTCAGGCCAGGAAACCGTTTTTTCCAGCTCATTCCAACTCTGTTTCAGAATCTCCCACTTCTCCTTTCGAGTCACTGGGCACGTTACAGTGATGAAAACAGGCAACTCTGTCTTGTACGTTAAAGAATACTCGGATTTTGGTCAAAGGACAAATTTTATCTTATCATGTCTTTGTGAAATATGGAGAAAAGTCAAATGCATTATATTTAGCAGTATGGGTATAGTTTCAGAAGTTGTATATTTGGCCTTTTTCCATATATGTATGCAAAGCATGGGTTAGAACAACCTGAAACGTGCTCTGCCCACTCACAAATATATTCTGGCCGTGATGCAACCAAAACTGGGCTGGGACATCTGCTGCTGCCAGGTCAAAACCTTCATTCTGGGGAATTGTAACAATAATCATTTACCAAATATCTGGACAGTCATTATGTTACCAGGTCCCTAAGAACTGCTTGTAAATAAAGTTTTGGAGTTCTCAAATAAGTCTTTGTAATCTAGGATCAATGTTGGTTTGGCATCTTTGTTTTCTTAGTCAAGAAGGTGGAAAGGTTTTTGGACAGGATTTCATACCAAAATCCATCTGTAGTTCACTGCAAAAAGTTGACTTTTCTGCTGGTACAGGGAATGGAAGCTTCAGGGAGAGAGAAATGCATTTTTATCCGAGTTTTATCATGTTTTCTTTGGAAAGCTTTTGTTCTGATGCCGAATAGTTAGTGCTTTGTTCAGGGGTTATCACCCTGCTGGTGGCGTTGGAACAGATGGGGCTGTTGCAGTGACTGTACCTAATTACAGGGAAGTGCAGTTCAGGGAAATTTTGAAAGCAGGATGACGTGGTTGCAGTCCCAGCATGTCAACACTTGAGTGGGCAGCAGCTGGAGAGGAGACCAGGCCTCACTCTCTGACTTTTGCAAGAACTCTGGGTTTGACCCATTGTGGAGCAGAGTGACTTCAGTTCCAGGTCATCCTTTTATTACTCTGTATTCAAGCATATGAAAACTATTGTAAAACCTGGCAGCAATTAATTAAACTCAAGATTCTCTTTTTATCTCAGAGCAGAGTTCTTATTTCAAAACAAACTTTGACATAGGGTTGGAACACAGCCCAACCCACATGAAAGTGAACGTGAAGGGCTCGTTGTCTGTCTTCAAAGGATCTTTGCAGAGCTACAACCTGAGTTCAGGATCATAAAAGTGTTAAGAAAATGAGAAAATTTGCTTCACCCCAGTAACTAAAAATGTAGAGAAATGGCTCTCCAAGGCCTGTCTTTCCAGGTGGAAGGTGATAGTGAGAGAATTCCTTTCACTTCAGCAAACGAACCCTCCCTGGGTTTGTGTTCACTCCTCATGAACAGCCCCATGTGATGGAAACGAATCAGATACCAAGAAATGCTTCCTGACAGTTCTTACACGACACCCAGTGCTGCAGGAAACCATCACAATAATCAGTGTTTTGGTTCCTGTGATAAAAAAATTCCTGCTGCTTTGTAATAACTTCTTAATCTGTTCCATCTCCCTCCTCTTTATCATTGCTCGTAAATCAAATTTCAGTTACTAAGAAAACAAGGAAAAGCAGGATTTTTTTCACTTCTGGTGAAGCACATGATGGTACTAAAGAGAAGTTCAAGGACTTTCTCATGAGAATGATGCTTCTGTACACACTGAACAGCTTGGGATTTGCCACAAGGCTTTCCTTCATGTCATCTGATATCCAACAGTGCTCCAGAAAAACAGGAGTTGAAGAGACATTCATGAGATTTCTGGCATCTTTTATTAGAGGAGACATTGGCTGATGAAATTGGAAATTGTTATAAGTGACATTTTTACAATACATTTCAGAAAGATAAGCTTGGGGGTAAAAGATTAATGCAAGTAAATACTGCATGTGTGTGTGTGTGTGTGTGTGTTCTTTCACTTTTATGGTACTATGTGCTCGATAAAACTATGCCAAAATTCTCAGATCTTTGAGATAACTGGAGCAGAGTGGAGCACTTTTTTTGGTAGATAAAAATAGATTGCTCAGTTTTAGAAAATTAAGTGAAAACAAATTAATTTGCCCAAAAATGCTTTAGTGTATTACTATTTTTCAGTGTATTTTTTGAGGCAGAGAGGGAGCTGTAGGAAAGCATTATGAACTAGGCTGTCCTGCAAATGTCATGGACAAACCAGGATCAGTTCCTAGAAAACATAATCTGCCTTTTGAAATTTCCTGTAATTGTTCAGGTTTTCCTGAGCATTCTTTGGAAAAAACCCTGAAATACTGATGAGTTTGAGGAACCCACACTCCTCCTGCTGAGGAGTGTGTTGTGTCAGGGCAGTAACAGAGCAGTGAGGGAGTTTGGGGCTGGATTCATGTGGTAATAGTTTTATACTGTAATTCCACATAACAACTTCACACCACCATTTCATTTCGAGAATAAACAGTCCTTTTATTAAAATGAAAAGTTTCTGAAGTTAATTCCAACAAGAAACTATTTTCTTGTGTTTTGCTGACAAGAAGGTCTTTGAGTGCTCGAGTTCATCCCCTTTGTATGATGGTCAGCAAATGCTTCTTTCTTACCTGCTTTTCTTTAGCAACAGAGACTTAGATATCGTAAAGCTTGTGGAATACTTGGAGCAAACACTGAGAAATAATTGACATTAAGTTTGGAGTGTGGGGCATCTCTCCCAGCACATCCTGAAACCACTTTCTTCACACAAGGGATAGAAATGAATTGCTTGATGTAGTTAATGGAGTAAAGGTCTGACTAAGCAGCGTGATCTGTAGAGACACAGAGAGAGCACTGAGTCACTGCTTTGTTTGAATGTTAATTATTCTTAGGGCCTTTGATGTGTGCTTGGGTTCTCAATGAATTCAATGGAGTTTATTTTGACACCTTGGAGAATGTACCTGGAGTGTTTTATAGGCTTAAAGAGAAAAAAATTACATCCATGTAGCTATGTTTTGAACAAAGCTGCTTTGAAAGAGTTTGCTGTTGTAAACAGAAATCAATGAAGTAAGGATAATTGTACTGTTATCCCTCATAACTTGCTTTCTGTCTCTGATATTCTCTGTATATCTTTGGGTGAGGGCTGTTTTCAGCTGTGCTGCAGCCAGGGATCTGTCTGGGTAGGGGGTTCTTACGTGGTTTTAATCTGTTCTGTAAAACCAGGACGTTGTTCTAGGTATTACCATCAAACCCAGCAGCTGCTGTGGGGCAGAGTGGGACAGACTTTGTAAGTCTGGTGTCACGGACCCTGAATTTCTTGGTTTTGTCTTGCTTAGCTCTGCAAATATCCCAGTGCTCTCTGGCTGCCCAGAATCTGTGCCAGTTTCCCAATCAAAGGCTCTCAAAACATCGCTGTTTTTGTTCTTATTTCCCTCCTGTTGCATCATGATGTTTGCATGGAGACAGAAAGGGGTGAATAAACAGTGTTTGCCTGGTCATCTTTCATCCTGTTACTCCAGGCTTATTCCAGTGTAAGGGTTTGATTTTCCCTGTGGAAGTGCAGATACTTTGAGGATTCCTTCTTCTGGCCTTCTGAGGTACTGTCTGCAAATAGGCCTGTTTCTCTTGGGAATTGCAGAGTATGTCTTATAAATCAGGGTATTTCTGTGGTGTTGGCATCATGACTCAGGATTTGTTAAGGTCTCAGATATTTTGAGGTATATATTGTGGGTAAAGCTGAGCATGAATTTCAGGAGGCTTAAAATTCCTCAGGTGCTTTGTAGTTTCCCGTTTTCTGAACCAATTTCACAGAGGCTGCTGAGGTGGCACTACCAAACTGGGCATCAGCCTTTCAAAGAGGAGCAAGGTGTGCCAGGCCTGCCTTACCCCTGTGCCTGGTGAGTTCAAGGATTGAATGGCCAGTGTTATGACCTTTTCTTTTTCTGTGTGTGCAGATCCTGTGCTCCAGGTGCCGATACATGTGGAGGAGTAAGTGTTCCCTTTATCTTGTTTGCTGCTTGTTTGATTTTCACTGAGGTCTTAAAGTTTGGTTTAATTTGAACCCAAACAATCTGTGTTCTAGAGAAGTTGCCAACCTTGCAGGAGTCAGTTTGAGGTGGTTTTGGGAGCAGATACAGAAAGGATAGAATTAGCTACCTGTAATAGCTAAGAGGAAACATGGTGTCTGCAGCCTGTTCTCTGGAGCCCTTGCTCAGTTTGGGGATCAGGGTGGTGACTGTACCACAACTGAGAGCTGTGAAATGACAGAGACAGCTCGGGAGGGACTCTGGGTTTGTACTTACTCCCCTCAAATAAAGACTAAAAATAGTGAAGCACAGGAAACCAACCACCACCACGACCAGAATCTGCAAATAGCACCCTCAAGCTGTAAATTCAGAGTGGTGCCTCCAGCAATCTCACATTTAACTTCTAGCTAAAATCCAAGTTTGGGGCTTTAACTTTATGCCTGTGAAGTCAGTGGTGACATCCTTTCTTTTGTGTGGTTTGGTTTTGATCATAGAACCTTGGACATCAGGATTTGGGTTTATTTGTGTAGTTTGGGAGGGGTTTGCCTTTATCTCTCAAATTTAGTTCTGGCAACTCTTTTCTTGTTTCTTGCCTTCCTTATGCTTTCTGGGATTTTTTATTTGGTTTGGTTTTAATTCTGTGGCATTTTAAGAGCATATAAATCTTGTTTAAAAGCTTTCACTCAAGTCATTGCCTGCCATGTTTGGGTCTTTGAATTTTCAAATGCATTAGTAATCGTAGATTATATTAGTTCTGCAGCTTCTTTATATTCTTAAATTTTCACATTAATAAATGAAACTCCAAAAACTGGATAATAAAAAATAAAAAATTTAGTGTTGGATGAACTTGTCTGTAAAGCCAGTACTGACCACAGTTACTTTCCTGTTCTCTGAGAAGCACAGTACATTTTATCACTTATAATTGCTGTTTAAATCCCAGGCCAGCATTCCTCCCAGACCCCAATGATGGCAGTTTGTACACACTCGGGGGCAAGAACAGTGAAGGCCTGACTGTAAGTATTTCAGTTCTCTGCTGGGAAGTGCCCCAGTCAGCCCCCCACCTCTGCAGAATGAAAACACACTGATTTTATTAGAGCAGAATGGGATGGTCAGGAAATGATTTCTGCTTGAAAATACCAACACCACATCTTGTCCACTCGTGCAGCTTTCCTGTAACTTGCTAAAATAAAATTGACGTGGTATTATCCAAATGTTGAATAATCTCTGTGTGATTTGATGGGAAAGGTGTACCCAAAATAATACCAGATGTGTCACTCTCACCCAAATGCTTCATTTTCTAAAGCCATTTGCCAGAGGCAGGATTAATGTCTGTGCTGTGCTGACCCCTTTAGAAGGTGCCTTTGAAGATGCAGTAAGCAGACAAAAGTGCTGAACCTTTTGGAGTAGTCCCCAGTCCCTGTAGCCCACAGCTACTGGCAAACGTTTGACTTTCGTTTTTAAACTTTGTGGTGACACTCAGATAAAATGTTTGGCTTCCCACAGGTTTTTTTCTCTGGCAGCTGGATGATTTCCTTTCAGAACTTCAGTGTTGTTAAACATTTTAGTAAATATTTATTTACTCCCCACTCCTCCCACCCCCTAGAACAGCCAGATCAGAACTTGCAAAATTATTCCTGGTACCTTTCCTGGATGAATCCAGGGAGCAGCAATCTCTTCGAATCTATTCCTTTATTCTGATAATCTCTCTTTTTGAATTACAGTAATTTCTGTTTAAAATCCCTATTATAAAATAGTTGGAGATTCCTGTTCCTTCCCTATCCCAACAGTTCCCTTTAGTTCCTGCTTAGTCCAAGGGGGAAGCATTTTATGCTCATTGCTGGTGAGGATTTAAACCACACCAACAGTGTTGGTGCTGATGGGAGACCTTGGACCCCCAGTCTTGGCTCCAGGCAGTTCCTCCCTTCTCCCTACATTTCTCCTGCTGTGAATTCCCCAGGGCAGAATTCCCTCTGCTCCAGGTTTGCAGAGCAGGGCTGACCTGACACAACCAACCAATAAAAACCTGTCACCCTTTTCTGTGAATGAATGTGATGACTGTCACATCAATGTGAAGAAGCTTTTATTGCTTGTTTGTTTTTCCTCTAGAAACTTCCATTTACTATCCCAGAGCTGGTGCAGGCATCTCCCTGTCGCAGTTCTGATGGGATCCTGTACATGGGTGAGCTCACATTTTATCTCCTTTAGACTGTAAGATGTTCAATGACTACAAAATGTAGAGAATCCCAGACAGGGAAATAGGAAATAGGCTTTATTTTGGGTAGTAATTATGATTTTTCATAAGCCTTTCTGATGACAAAAAATCTGATTAATACAGAATTCAATTACTCTTTGAAGATTAAAACCCAACTGCTTTTCCTGAAGGAGAAAACAGCTTTTCTAAGCAGTGAATAGCCTGTATGGGGTTTTTTGTTTGTTTTTGATGTGACTTCTGCTTAAAGTCTTTTTACAATAATAAATGACATTGACTGCCAGACAGTTAGAATTAAATAGAAATCCCATTGCCACACAGTCAGACATCCTTCTTTATCTGAGGCACAGTCACTTCATTTGTGCTACAAATGATAAAATTTTGGCTGACTGCCCTGACTCATTCTAATTGCAGATGGATTTGGGAGGAGAAGAGGAGAAAGAAGGACAGTTATTACTTATCACAACAGTAAAATATGTGAAGATCAGGATGAATTTAGCATTGATTTTGTGAAATCTCCTAAAGGCCCAGTATTGCTTCTGGTTCTCCATTTGGTGCCTTTCCAGTAAAGGAGTGAAAAATGTGTATATGAACCTTGTAAACATGTGTTGGTGTCAAAGACTTTCTTAAGCTTGTGGGTGATGGATTCTTACATGGGATGTTTGGTTACAATCCTTAATCAATCTGAAAGGTGACCCTCACTTTTTTTTTCCCACCTACTGTCCTTCAATATGAGCCCTTCAGTCTCCTCCTCTGTGAACTCATGGGATCTACACTCAGAGCTCTGTTAGATTTTATCAGTGTGAAAAATCATTCAACCAAGTACTTCTTGTTCTAAATGTTGTATTTGGGGTTTTTTTCATCAGTATTTGGGATTGACCAGTGATGAAACTAAGCCTGACTATGAGAAACTGTTTTATTAAAAAAGCTTTATTTGTGCTAAGTTTATGAGGCTGCTAAAGAAAAAAGAAGACTGAAAAAAACTGGATGGAAGTGTAGTTTTTCCAACTGAATGGTAACGTGGCTTAAATTATGATTTCAGGTAAAAAGCAGGATATTTGGTATGTGGTTGACCTCATGACTGGGGAGAAACAGCAGACCTTGACTTCCTCCTTCACAGAAAGTCTTTGCCCATCAACATCCCTCCTGTATCTTGGCAGAACAGGTCATATGCTTTTTTTTCCTGTAGCTTATAAGAAAATTGTGTTTCTTAAAGTTTAGGCTTGTAACAAATGACCTTGTGGTCAGCTCAGGTTTTCAAGTTTATTTCTTAGGAAAGCTTCTGTAAATTATGATTTTAGACTGTACACAGAAGAATTGGTAATAGATGGAGCATATCCACTGACATTGCAAGTGTGTGAAGTAACTGTTGGAGTTACACCAACACCATGGAGGTGCTGACTGGGAAAAAGGATTAAGTGTTGCAGACTTGTTCTTTAACCCCTCTATGAGTGTGTTCCTTGAGTGGGATAGTGTTGGGAAAATGCAGTGAGAGAGCAGTGGGGGTGTGTGTGGTGACTGAGGAGTGGCTCAGATTTGAGGTGATTGATTCTGTTCTCTCATAGGTTTTTTTGCTTCACAGACTGTATATTTTTTAACAGAGTACACCATCACCATGTATGACACCAAGAAGAAGGAGCTGCGATGGAATGCCACCTATTTTGACTATGCAGCTACTCTGCCTGATGAAGACATAAAATACAGTAAGAATTTGATTGCTGTCTCCCCCTGCACTGGGGTTTTGTGTACAGGCAGAAATATTTTGATTTTTTCAGTAGTTAACTGGTGAGGCTGTCTGTCTGATTTCTGTGCAGTTGATCTTCTGCCCGTTTTTATCCTTCACATACTGCAGTATCTCAACCCTGTTAGGTAGCTCCAGGTTAAGTGAATCTAAGAAGGTGCAGCTCTTGAAGGTGTTTCCTTAAAATGTAGTGAGAAATGGCAGGAGAGGCAGCAGAGCTGAGCTGTGCTGCACCTGACTGCCGGGAGCACCGGAGTGCAGTGCTCTGGGATGGCAGCTGAGCTGGTATCAGCCCCCTCTGACAAAAGCTCTGCTGATGAGCTGCTCTGCCAGGAAAGGTTCCTGTTAACCTGAGGCATAACTGTTCTGTGTTGTTGGAGCTGCAGCAGTCCAGGTGCTCTGTGTGTTTGTTGCAGAGATGTCCCACTTCGTGTCCAACGGGGACGGGCTGGTGGTAACGGTGGACAGCGAGTCCGGGGACGTGCTGTGGATCCAGAACTACGCCTCCCCCGTGGTGGCCTTTTACATCTGGCAGAGGGAGGGGCTGAGGAAGGTCCTGCACACCAACGTGGGCATCGAGACCCTGCGCTACCTGACCTTCATGTCCGGGGAGGTGGGACACATCACCAAGTGGAAATACCCCTTCCCAAAGGAAACGGAGACCAAGAGCAAGCTGACGTGAGTGTGAAATTCCCATTGTTCTCACTGGCCATGTGTCACTAAAACCTTGTCTACACACAGGTCAGGGGTTGTGCTCCAAGTTGCAACATGGTGAAAATACATAAAATCAGCTCTAGTTCTCCAACTGCTATGTCATATAATACTTGATGTTTTACTGTGTAAAGTCAGAGACCAAACCAAAAAACTTATCAGAAACTTAGGTTATACACACATAAGTGTATATTCCTAAGTTTTATCAGATGTTCTGTGTTGAGTAGTTTCCCATGTGGAATTAAATTGTGTTTCCTAATGTGAAGCCTTTGACATTATAAAAATGGTGCACAACATTTTGGGAAATGCCAGTTACTGAAAAATACAGAACTAGGACATGAGTTACATCAAATGAGTAAGTGCTGTGAGTGATGAACTAACAATGCTTTCATAATTAGAAAGAATGTCTTCATAGTTCACCAATACCTCAAACAGTTTTACAGATCCTGGCTTTTCAGGACAACAAATCCTGATGACTTGGGGAAAGTCATGCACTTGTTCTGCAGGATTGTGCTGCCCAGGTTTTAGCTGAGATGGTAAAACATCCGTTTGCCTGTTGCTAACCTTGCCTGTCTCTCCCCAGCCCAACCCTGTATGTGGGGAAATACTCCACCAGCCTGTACGCATCGCCCTCCATGGTGCACGAGGGGGTCACTGTCGTGGTGAGTTGGGTGGGCTTGGAAAAAGGGTTGAGATGGAAACACACATAAAAACATATTAAACTAAAAAGGAAAATAAAACACTGAACACTGTACATCTACAGAAATTTGGGGTTATTGCAGATTGCTATCAAGAAATGCATGGCAAATTCAGTGTGTCCTGAAACAATTGTCAGTGAGCCCGAGGACACATGGCCATGCTTCAGGAATCATTTCAGTGCTGCAGAGCAGGAACTGCAGCTCCTCAGGAACTGTGCCAGGCAGGCTCAGCAAGAGAGGACCTGAGGTTACTGCTCTTGGTGGTGCTTTGTGGTTTGTGTTAAAATTGCTGATTTGTTCATCAAAGTGACTCCCCACAGAGAGGAAACTGCATCATAGTTTTGTTTTTCTCACTGTGGCTGAAGAGGTAGGAAATACAGATCCTGTTTAGGAAAAAAAATAGGGGGAGTAATCTCATCTCCCAGGCAACATATCCCTGAGGAGGTCCAATGTCCAAGGCTGTGGAAGCAGCTGCTGAGGGCAGAGTGGCCGTGTTTGCTCACGGTGACAGTGCTGCCAGTAATCTCTGCCTGCCCCCCCATTTGACCTCCATTTTTTAATTTTGCTACCTATTTAAATAGTCCAAGGTCACAGGAGCAATAACTGTAACCATAATCTCTCCCCAGCCCCGAGGCAGTGCCATACCCCTGCTGGAGGGGCCAAAAACAGAGGGAGTCACCATCGAGGACAAGGGCGAGTGTGTCATCACCCCCAGCACGGATGTGAAGTTCTCAGGGAGGCTGAAGGACAAGCACAAGCTCAACTACTGGAACGACTGGCTGTTGATAGGTGTGGGAGGCCCTTCGTGGCCTTAATTACCCAGTTCTAGCCAGAGTTTCTAATTCATCCTCATTTGCATATGAATTAATGTGTTTAAGTATCCACTGGACACTGTTTTTCCCAAGGCTCCTGTGACTCAGTGACAGGGTGAAGAGGGCTTAGCTCCATGTGTGGAAAGTTGTTTGTTGTTTGTTTGCACCCTCCCTCAGAGAGGGGCACAGGTTATTTATTATTTACTGTAAATACTGTATTCTTAATTTCATTCTCACCATATGGATCAGATGGTCATGTGTTCCCCATTTTATAAATGGATTAAAACACAGAAGCTGAAGAATATTAAGTCTCAGCCTGTCTTGTGAGTCCCAAATCCCCAAATTTTGGAATTGACTTTTCATGGTATTTATAGTTTTGCTTCCAAAATGAGGAACTGTCTGAAGTTCAGTTTTTAGTGATGCCTCTATGACGTAGGAACTCTGGGACAGTGTGCAGCTTTCAACTTCTTTAAGTGCCACCTTTCTGTTCCCATGACCCCTTTCCTTGTTAATACTCTCACTCCTGCAGTACAACAGGCACTTCCTTAGTTTGTATTCCCATGCAACCCTCTGTGCTGGGGCACCTCTGCCTTTCATTTTCCCTTTTCCTCTCCTGCTATATAGAGCATCTTATTTTGTGGTGTTCTCAAGCCTTTTGTAAATCAGCTTTATATCTGCTTTTCAGCAAAGATGTTGAAATCAAGGATATCTTTCCTAAAAAAAGGACAACTTTCTATTTCAACAAACGTGTTTTATTTAAAGGGCACCATGAAACACCATTATCTGCCCCTACAAAGATCCTGGAGAAATTCCCAAGCAACTTACCTAAGAGACCTGAAAACGTGATTCCAGCTGACTCTGAGAAAGCCACTATTGAAGAGGTTTGTGATTAATAATTATATGAGAATAATATATTATATATATGTGACAATAAGATAATATATAATAATTATATGAGAATAATTATCTTACTGGGTGGTAAAAGAATATAAAGGAGTAGAAGTTGGGGAAGGACATGGAAAGGAAACAGCATGGAATTACTTCACATTTTTTGTGTCAGATTTCCATGTCCTCAGCACACAGAATCACTGGATTATGCTGTGTCATTCCTTATTTCACAATTAAGGCTTTCAGGTGCTTTTTTTTCCCCCACATGTAGGGGTGGGGAAAAACTTTGACTTTGGCAGGTTTAGAAATGACTAAAAATGATGTGGCAGAAAGGCCAGATGTGAACACCTCGTCACCCACAGAGATACTGAGCTAACAGAGCTTTCTCGGCCTCAGGTCATCGGCATCGTGGAAGGTTCCTCCACAGAAGGGTCTCCTGCTGCCCCACAGGACATCGAGGAGGCTCCTGCCCGGCCCCTCCCGCGGCCGGAGGCTCCAATGGACTCCATGCTGAAGGACATGGCCACCATCATCCTCAGCACCTTCCTGCTCGTGGGCTGGGTGGCTTTTATCATCACCTACCCCCTGGTAATGCTGAGCTGGCTTCCTGTGCTTTTGGGTGGTGGGAGAGTCGGTAACACTGGACAGCCAAGAAATGATACAGGAGTTAGTTACACATCCAGGGATTTTCCCTCCTCACAGATGTGCACTGGGGAGCAAAGGCTACAAATCTGACTTAACAGTGATTTCTTTGGGCCGACTCTGGAGAGATTTCTTCTTTCATTTACCAGTTGTGGTTCTTGTAGGTGTTACTCTTTTTAGATAAGATCTTAACACCATTGGCTTCACTCCTCTCTTCCTCACTTGAACCACTGTCAGGTTTTCCAGGTTTTGGATCCAAGCCTTTATCCTTATGTGGTTTAAAGACACCTGGCCAACCTAGTAGCAGCTTTTGCCATAATAACCAACCCCTGAGATTTCTCAACTTGACAGTGGAAGTTCAGAATGAAATTGAAACCCTGTGTGAATGTTCCCCAGCCTGCAGGGCTGGCAGGGACATGGCAGGAGAGTTTTACTCCCACCTTTCAGATGCAGCTCCCCAGTAGCTGTAGGGCTCCCCTGTGTGACCTGACTGTGCAATCTTCACTGAGGTCTCTCTCACAGAGTGTCCATCAGCAGCAGCAGAGGCAGCATCAGCTGGAGGAGAAGATCCAGCTCTTGCAGCAGCAGAAGCTGCCCTTTGGTGCCCCCAGTGACCTCCCCCCCGAGGCGGATTTCCTGGACACATCGTACGGGCGCACGGAGAGCTCAGCTGGCAGCACCCCAAACCTGTCCCCACGGGCTTCCAACCACTCTGCCTATTCCAGCATCTCCACATCCGACGGCGGGAGCTGCCTCTCCACTGAGCAAGAGGAGGGAGGTAAGGCTGACCCAACAGGGTTTATTGGGTCTCTGTTTCCCCAGTCTGTGCTGATACACTGAAGTAGTTACTGGTGATATTTTGTAGCTCAGCAAATGAAAAGACCCATCCTCCTCATCCAGCCTGACCCTCTGCACACCCCAGGGCACTGACCCTGTGCAGGATTATTTGCATTACACAAATAGCTGAGAGGTTGTGCTGCCCATGGCAGTGTGTTCCTATAACCTGTAGCCATTCCAGGGAGAGGGTCATTTAAATAAAACCACATATTATGATGATTGACTGGAATCAAGGACTAAGGATTGCACACACTGCCTGCCTTCCTGCCTGGTCTGCCTGTGCACTCACTTGTCCCCTCAAAGGCTGTTCAGGGGAACTGCTACTAAACCCACTTCCATAACTGTCAGTCAGCATTTCCTAAATTCAACATCTATAAACTTCTACAAAGAGCTTGGCTGCTGAGAACCACTCAGCTCTCACTGCCCTGAGCCATCATCTTTGCAGACCCTCTGTCAGGTGTTGTGTGTGTGTTTTGACTCTCAGTGTTGGATCGTTTGGTCCACAGAGTATTTCCCTCCTCAGGGTGAGTGCCAGCGTGGAGATGTTCATTTGCTTTCATCATCTATGTGTTAAATTTAAACATGAGCAAAGAGACTTTTCCAGACTGGCCCCAAAGGCTGTGCAGTTGTAAAAAAAAAAACACCAAAAAAAACCCCACAAACAAACAAACAAACAAACAAACAAAAAAAACAAAAAAACTTGCCCCATCCTAAACCGATCCTTGTTCCTCTTTTCTTGTTCAGATGAAGATGCAAACCGAGTGATGGTTGGCAAGATTTCCTTTAACCCCAAAGATGTACTGGGACACGGAGCTGAAGGGACAATTGTTTACAGGTAGAAGAGAACGTGTGCATTGAACAGACCAGTGAATGTTGTGTTTGCATTAGGCCCGTTTAATTTATTTTTATAAATGCCCTCACATACCTAATGTGAGCAGAAGTGAAACTTTCTGCCTGTGTCTGGAGTATTTTCATGCATTTTCTTCTGCAGCAAAAACTTTTACTGTACTTCCCTAAGAAGTATTTAGTGCCCAGATGTCCCCGATTCCTCTGGCCACGCTTTGTGCACAGTGTGAAGGTTGCTGTGGTTTCCCTCGCTGCCTGCAGGGGCACCTTTGACAACCGCGATGTGGCTGTGAAGAGGATCCTCCCCGAGTGCTTCAGCTTCGCAGACCGGGAGGTGCAGCTGCTGCGGGAGTCGGACGAGCACCCGAACGTGATCCGGTACTTCTGCACGGAGCGGGACCGGCAGTTCCAGTACATCGCCATCGAGCTCTGCGCGGCCACGCTGCAGGAGGTGACCGGGGAACTGCTCCCTGCAAGGCCCTCACTGCCCTCCAGCTTCAGCTGCTGAAGTGCCTGACACAGGGATGTTCCATTACTGCCACCATCACCTCTGTGACAATTCCACATTCCTGGGAGAGGGGTGTTTTCAGAGCGTTAGGAAGATACCCCTAACCCTGGACTGATTTAAGGACAGACACTGTTGTCTTTTAGATTTTTTTTTTTTTCTAGTCATTCTCCCCCTCCTACCACCCAGACTTTGGAAAGCTGTCAGCCCTTGTTGGTGGAGCACAGTGCTCTACAGAATTCTAGCTCTGAATGACACTTAGAGATCAGCACCTTCAGCCAAAGCAAAGCTCTTTTCCCTGTGTTACCAGCTGGCACAACATATCCAGTTGAACCTTTCTGGGGGGGTGAAGTGCATGGATTTACCATTTATGCAGGTGCTGAGCAGTGCTGGGGCTGACTCTGCTTGTTCTCTGTTGCAGTACGTGGAGCAAAAGGCCTTCAGCCACCGTGGCTTACAGCCCATCACTGTCCTGCAGCAGACAACGTCTGGGCTGGCGTACCTGCACTCCCTGAGCATTGGTGAGAGCCTCTCCTGGCAGGGCTGCGTGAGGGGGACGTTCTCTGCACTGGAAAAAGAAGAGAAACTGCTCTGGTTCTGGTCTGCCCACCTGGCCTAGTGGCAGGTGGCCCTGCCCATGGCAGGGGGGTTGGAACGAGATGCTCTTTAAAGGTCCTATGAAACCCAAACCATTCTGTGATTTGACGCCAGCCTTGTCCCTGTAACATTCTGCTGCCCTGGAGTACTGAAGCTAGTCCTTACTGTTAGTGCAGGGTGCTGCATTTTTTGGATAGAAGTCATATAGAACATGAGGAGTAGTGGTGATGGAATAACAAAGTGATGACAATCCTTTGAAGTCAGCACTTCAGTTTAGCAAGCAGTGGTTCAGCCCTGGGCAAGGTTCACTGAAATAGGTGCAAATATCATTGGGAGTGCTTGAGTGGTAAAAGGGTGTTTGTAACAGTCCACAGAGACCTGAAGCCCCACAACATCCTGATCTCGATGCCCAATGCCCACGGGAAGGTCAAGGCCATGATTTCAGACTTCGGGCTGTGCAAGAAGCTGGCGGTGGGTCGGCACAGCTTCAGCCGCCGCTCGGGCGTGCCGGGCACCGAGGGCTGGATCGCCCCGGAGATGCTGAGTGAGGACTGCAAAGAGAACCCTGTAAGTCCTCACCCTTCCCCAGGAGCAGCCCAGACCCTGCAATACACAGGACTTGGTGCCTGGGCCTTCAGGCTCCCTTGCAGCTCAATGTGCCATTCTGGAAATTTCCTTCTGCTCCAAGATGCAAAATAACCACCCTGTGATGATCAGAGTCTTCAGGGGGAAAAAATATGTCTTTGCTCTTAAAGGTTGTTTCTTTGCAGACCTACACCGTGGACATCTTCTCAGCTGGCTGTGTCTTCTATTACGTGGTGTCAGAAGGTGGCCACCCCTTTGGCAAGTCCCTGCAGCGGCAAGCCAACATCCTGCAGGGAGCATACAGCCTGGAGGCCCTGGATGCAGGGAGACATGGTAAGGACACACCACAGAGATCAGGGAGAGTCCCACGGTGTTAAGTGCCAACAGAAATGACAGAAATATGGCACAGGATTCCCAGCCTGGCAGCAGTGACAGTTTTACTCCTCAGGTACTCCTGAAGTAAAGGGCCTAAAGTTCTCAGTTACAGTACCCCACAGCATCTCTGGGGTACACATTTGGAACCCTGTGAAGTTATTTCCTGTAGTTAAAGGGTAGGACAGAGCTGCACTGTGATATTCTTAGTCTCTGAGTCAACCCTTCTGCCTTCCTGCTGTTGCCCAGCATGTCCCTGAGGGCACACGTGAGCTAGCAGGGCAGGAGGAAGTGGAGACCATGATGAATTTGTAAAGTACAAAACAGTATTGTGGTGGTTTGAAAAAAAAAAAATATAAAATGCTACATTTCCTCACAGCCTAAGTGTGTAGCAAAAATTAAAGAAGTACCATAAATTTCCCTGCACCCTTTTCCTTGCAGAAGACATAGTTGCTCGTGATTTAATCGAGCAGATGATAAACATGGACCCTCAGAAACGGCCGTCTGCCAGCTGTGTGCTGAAACACCCCTTCTTCTGGAGTTTAGAGAAACAGCTCCAGTTCTTTCAGGTTTGTGGTGACCTTTTCTCTCCTTGAGTTCTCAGGACTCCTGTAGACTTTGTTCAAGTCTTGAATTCAGAAGCCACAGCCTTTCTGTGAGGAGTGAAGAGCCAAGTTGTAATACCTGGGAGTAGCTCCTAAGGAATTGGCTTAGTCACAGAGTCAAGTAGGTTGGAAAAGACCTTTGAGATCGAGTCCAACCTTTGACCCGGTACCACCTTGTCTAGGAGGCCAAAACATGCTCTTATCAACTTCCTTTGGTGTGAGGAAGGTTTCCAGCAGTACAGGGCTGAGGATGTGGCCGAGGGGGTTTCAGGAACAGGAGTGATTATGTCCTGATGTGGGGTGGGAACTGACTGAGGACCTGAGGCTTTGTCTCCTCTGTGCTAAAAGAGCTTTGGCAGATGGTGAAACAAATCATTTCAGAAACTCCTGCATCCTATTCCAAAGCACTGTCAAGGAGTGAAGTGTAATTTTAACTTCATTACCAGGACAGGCTGTAATTGGCCAGAAGCAGCAATTTAAAATTGTTGGGAAAAACTCGGAAATAAAACTGGAAATAACCTGACTGTCTCCTCCAGGATGTCAGTGACCGGATAGAGAAAGAATCTTTAGATGGTCCAATAGTCAAGCAATTAGAAAGAGGTGGAAGAGAAGTGGTGAAAATGGACTGGAGAGAGCACATCACTGTTCCTCTTCAGACAGGTAATGGGCAGTGTTTTAATAAGGGGAAGGGAGTTAGATGCTGTTCCCAGTTTGCTGGGATGGGAAAGTAAGGATAACACTGTCTGTGCTTTGGCACATGACCTTTACTTATCAGTGAAGTATTTCTTCAATGTACTGAAAAAGCCCTACAAGGATCTGTGGTGTGGGGACACACCCCAGCAGCTAAAACTACATCACAACACAAGAAGAAATTGTGTCATTTCTCTTGCAGATCTTCGAAAATTCAGATCCTATAAGGGAGGCTCAGTACGGGACCTTCTGAGGGCCATGAGAAATAAGGTAAAGGACTCCTTTCCCTCAGCACCACACCCCCCCTGCTTGGTGCCAGCCTGTGCCATCCCTTGGTTGAGGCACTGAGCTCCTTCACGACAGAATAGGTTTCCTTGTCCAGGAAGACCAACAGCTCTATTTACAAGAGGTTCCTCGTACATAAACTGAGTTTCCCATCTTCTCTTTTCCTCCCCAGAAGCACCATTACAGGGAACTCCCTCCCGAAGTGCAGGAGACCTTGGGCTCCATCCCAGAGGACTTTGTGTGTTACTTCACAGCTCGGTTCCCTCGCCTGCTCCTGCACACCTACCACGCCATGCACATCTGCTGCCAGGAGAGACTGTTCCAGCAGTACTACCCCGAGGACTCTGCAGAGCTCAGCCTTGCAGGAGACACTGTTTGAGAGGACAGGGATGGAGCTTTCTTCTCTGGGACCAACATTCCAAGCACAGGCCTACCTTTAGCAGGGAAAAGTGGGATCAAAGAGCTGAATTCTCTCTCTTTGAAGAAGCCAAGCTTCCAAAAAGTGCCTTGTCCCTCTGCCTGCGCTGGATCAGGAGGTGGTGGGAGCCCAAGGAGTGAGGTAAAGTGGTGAACCCTGGGGATGGAGTCATGTACTCCAGGGCAGTGTTCAAGACTGTGGAAGTGGAGAGCAAAAGCTGGATAAAACCATCACCCAACATCCCTGTACTGTATGTGATTTTGTAACTGATATGTTTTTCTACAAAAAGAAAAAAAATCAAAATACAGTGATTAAAATCATAATTACTGAGGACTGGGAACTGCAAAAGGAGCCCTTTGGTTGTAGCAAATCATCCAAACCTGCCATTGCACTGCTGCCCCATGAGGTATTGGGCACACCAGTGATTGCAAAGGGAATCATTGCTCGTTATCCAAAACCAGTAGGAAAGAACCACTGCTGGTTAATCTGTACTGCCCCAGAAAATTAGTCCCTCGTACTTGAGCAGATACAACAAACTTCTTAGAAATACTGACTTGAAAAATCAGTTCAAGGTTTACCTTCTTTAAAAACAAGCCTCACTGTTTAATATCAACCAGTATTCACAGAAGAGCTTGACCAGTCCTCGACTTAAATCACAGGGTCAGAAGAGCTCTGCACAAGCCAGTGCAGGAAGCACAGCCCTGGCAGCCCAGAGCTGCTCGTGGTTCATCAGCTGTCCCTCAGCAGCAGGAAAGCGCTGCCGAAACGGAGCCAGAGGTGAGAGAGTCCTGGGAAAAGGAGCTAAAGAGGAAACAAGGAGAGCTGTCAGGAGCAGAGAAACCAGGGCAGTGTTCAAGGGGTGCCATGGAGCTCTTTGTGTGGGCTGGTGATTCCATGCCTGGCAGCCTGGGTGTGGAAGGATGCAGTATTTCTTTTCACTGGCCCTGAAGTTGTGACAAAGCTCATGTGTGCAAAGGATGAAGAAACGCTGAGTTCTGTAATGTAACTGGGGTGTTCTTTAACTATGTATTTATTTAAGGTATTTATATTTATTTAATTTTTACTACAAAGTGGTATCAAATCCAAGTGGCACAGGTATGAAACACGCCAAATCAGTCTTAATCGGTTTTGTGTTTGTATTTAGTCACCTCGTAACAACTGGAAGAGGAAAGTGATACTGCATCTTTCAATGGACTAATTAAAGGAGAAATTACAGAGTGGGAATTTGTATGACTGTGCCATTGTGTCTTAAACTAATAAATTATTGCCAGTACTGTGTATGATTGGGTGCATACAGCTACTTTACAGGAAGCTTTTTTCCTAGTTTTATAATGTATGAGAGCAATTTACCTAAGATGCCAAACTGTGCAGGTTACATGTTTCTAAAGCTTGAAAAAAAAAAAATGGTTATTTTACCTAAGAAGATTCAAAGCCTATTTCATATTTTTGTACTTCCCATGTAAAGTTCTTTTATAAATCTACTAAATAAAGACTTGTACTCAGATTAAAACCCCACAGCTCTTAGTGAGAATGTGTGTCTGGGGTCTGCTACCAAAACTGGGCTGGGGGCAGCGAGCAGGGCAGAGGCTCCTGCCTGAGCAGCCTGTCCTGCCTCCCTGGAAAAGAGGCACACGCCTGATTTTTGAGCCTGCTCAAACCACTGCCTGCCTGCTAATCCCAGATGGGGCTCCAGTGCAGGAACCACAGCGAGCTGCTGGGGTGGGTGAGCACTGAGCCTCCTGGAGGGCCTGGGCACCTCACTGTGTTACTGTGACAGGCCCCAGGCAACATCACCTCCTGGAGGCTGAGGCAGGTGAGCAGGTAAGATAAAATGGCTGCAAGAATTTGCACTACTGTGCAGTCCAGAGATAGCCATAAATTAATTTTTTTGGTGCAACTGAGCTGGTGATCACGTGCTTTCCAGGAAGAAGAAAGCTGGCAAGACAACGTTGTCTGCCACACACACCCTGACACGTACATGGCAGTGGGGCTCAGCTTGCTTTGCAAAGGTAGTACCACCCAGTAGCACCACCCTGCTCAGAACGGGGCGGAGATTTGGTGGCTCATCAGGACTTTCTCAAAAGTAGTTCCTTTTTTTATTCCTGGCAATCAAACCCACAGGAGCCCTGCAGAACACACACAGTGCTGGAACTGCTGCCCGTGCAGCTGAGACAGGCCCCCCGAGCCTGACACTGCAGCTTGGAGCACCTTCCCTCCCTCCTGTGGAAAAGCCTTTCCCTGCAGGCAGGACAGCGCTGGAGACGTCCCGTTCCCCGCGGGCTCTGCCAGGTAAGCCTCCAGCCCTCCCTGTGCCCAGGGGTCCTGGGGGGGATGGAGTTATTCCCAGCCTGGCGGGTTACCTTCCCGGGAGCAGGCTTTAGGAAAAGGGAGGCTGTCCCTCCAGTGCCACCAGCCCAGCTCTGCCCCCGACGTCCGGCAGGGGTAAGAGCTGCTCGGCAGCACCAAGTGGGCCTGTCGGAGCAGCTCAGGGAGGTGGGCACAGGCCCCTCTGCCCCCCGACACCTGCAGCTACATCCCCTCCCTGCCCACCCGAGCCCCGCTGGAGCACACATGGGCTGCAGGGACCACGAACCCACCGCCGCCCCCGGCTGCTCTTAAACCCGGGGGGCAGCGGGGGCCCGCGGGCCCCTCCGGCCGCGCTCCCGCAGCCCTGCCCCCCCCAAACCCTCCCCGCCAGTTTCGATTCCCCGACAAGTTTCGTTTTCGCTCCCTGACGTCGCTGGCACAGTGGGCTGTGGCACAGGGACAGGCAGCGGAAGAGAGGGGAGGATTCACCACAAGCCCCGCCCCGGGAGGTGACCAGAGGAACTAAAAGATCCGTATTTCAGGGACACTTTTTGCCTTCTTTCTCGGAGAAGGCTGCACCAAGTATCAGTGGAAATGTCTCCCACCATTTTCCCAACCAGCCTGTTCACGCTGACTGCGAGGGATCCCCTCACAGCCACAGCACCCCAGGGCAGTCCAGGAACAGCCTCCCCTCAGAACCATGGCCACACCAGAGCCTCTGCAGGGCTGACCAGGTGCTGACAGGCTAAGTGTGGCTCTTTCCTAGCATCCCCTATTCTACCAGACCCAAACCAGCACCTTCTGCTGCACTCACCTCGTGCCAGACCACGGTCCCAGGTTCCCTCAGTTACACCTCTGCAGACAAGTGTTGCTTGCACAGCCCCCGGGACTGGTTTTGTGCTGCTCCTGCTGCCCCTCCAGAGCTGTGAGTGGCACTGCCGTAGCACCGTGAGCTGCAGGCAGGGAACTGGCACAACTCCTGCACCTGCTGAGCCAGCAGAGCTGAGGTTTCACACTGTGAGAGAAGAAACACCACCCCCACCCCCCTTCTTTGCTGTGACCTGTGCTCGCTGGGCCGGGGCTCGTGGGTGGCTGTGGCTGATGTGCCAATGTCCCGTGCTGGGATGCTGAGCAGGTGTATTTATCCCATTCCTCCGGCAGTACAGAGCCAGCTGTCCCTGCTGTCCCTCTCTGAACCCCTGGCAACGGATGTGAAGTCTCGGGCGAGGACACCGCGCTGAACAGAAACCCTTCTGCTGGGTCGGGCACTGAGCTGAACTGCTTCATGGAAGTTTTGGTGAGCACCAGAACACGTGGAAAAAAGAGGGAGAGGGGGAGACTGTACCCGGAAAAAAGGGAGTATGATGGAACAAAAGGCAGGGAAAGGGAGAGTGAGAAAAAGCACTAGAAAGCAAGGGATGGAACCTGGGGGATGCAGTGGGGATGGGCCTCCTCTTTTCCAGCATCCAACAGAAGGAGCTGTCAGAAGGGCTCAGCTGGCAGCACAAGTTTCTCCAGCAGTTCCCATTTCTTTCACACCCATGTGTGTGTCAGGAGCACCAACAGCTGCCTTCCCACAGAACAGCTGTACAGAGGCAGCACAGCTGGCAAGGCCAGGTTTCCAGAGATACAGAAATTACCTGGGACCAAAAAGGAGGGGAGAAGACTGGGAGAACACCAAAGTCAGCTTGAATTAACACAGGAATGTTAACTGAAGACAGTTATTTTTTCCCCCTCTAGGGTTTTGTGCATTAACAGCAGGATTTCCCTCACCCAAGACAATGGGTAAGTATTGCTTTCAGAAAAATTTGTACTTTATATGTAGCTATTTGCTTTTTAATATCTGCATTTTAAGGATTCATCTCAACTGGGGAACTAATCAGTACTCTTAACATCATCTTAGGGTTTGTACTGATGCTACCTTCCTTTAACAGAAAATAATCAGCCTCAAATGGGTAAATGATCTGCCCAAACCTCTCCAGTTAGACAATCCAGCCCTGTCAGTTCCCATAACCTTATCACATCATTCCTTCCCTGCAAAGCATTTGGGTTATTTCCATGACTCTCCATCAGGATCACTTCCAAACCTCCTTCATAGTTTCCTGCTTTGCTGATTTATTAGTCTTGTACCATTGCCTAGGACTGCTTCTGATTAAGGATAAGGATACTTTGTCAACAGAGCTGACAATCTTGAGAAGTTGAGACCTGCTCTCCCACTGTGACTCTCACATTTAGTGTGGCCAGTTTTGCCTTTGAAGCACGTTGACATGTTTTTTGGTTATTTATTTAATACATAATTTTAACTTCTAGATTACCAAACATTACCTGTGAATGACTGGGATGAGAACCACGTCAAATGCTGGCTGGAATCTACTGGGATCAAGAAAGAGTATGTAGAAAAACTATACACAGAGGAAGTGACAGGTCCAGCACTAATGGAACTGGATGAGTCTTTCCTCAAAGACATGGGTATGAAGAGAGGCCAAATCCAGATCTTAATCCGCAAGAGAGACGAACTAAGGCAGGTCCAGGACAATGCCCAGCAAGCCAAGAATTCCAGCAGCAAAGTGCTGGACAGAAGGGAGGCACAAACAGCCCCCATGACTCCCAGCACTGCCCCTGCTCAGAGCACGGCTGGGGGAGGCAGCTCTGGGGCCACGGGAACAACCAGCACTGACAACACAGCTCCTGCCTCTGGCAAGAGGCAAAGGAGGCGTGACAAAGCCCAGCTTCAAAGCCCTGAAGAGGTCTTGGAGCTTAGAAACTGCCGACCCTTTAAAAGTCAGGATGCTGACTTCAAGTACGTGAAAGACACAGTTCTTGCTCCAGAATCAGGAGTGACTGATTTAATCATTCCTTGCCATGAATACAAATCTTTGGCCATTGCTGCAGAACTGAACAAAGAGCAACTGCAATCAAAGTTTGCCTCTGAAGTGATCAGATTTGCTTCAGCCTGCATGAACATTCGAACAAATGGCACCATCCATTTTGGTGTCATGGACAGTGTTGAGGACACGGGTTGGAAACACGGACAGATCGTTGGCATAAAGGTCAAAAAGCGAGAAGACTATGTTGATGCACTGGATTTATATATAGAAAAATGCTTTTGTAATAATTTACAGGAAACTGCAAGGAAATGCATTCACCCACCTGTTTTTGTTGAAGTGATTTCAAAAGACACTCAGGAACAAAAGTTTGTGGTGGAGGTTGACATTGAACCAACATACGCCTTAGTACAGAAGAGCTGTTTTGAAGTGTGTTTGCCCAAATACAACGAAAGCAGCCACAAGGTGACCCTGACCAAAGAGCCAGCTCTCTACCAGAGAGTAGGAGCCAAGTCTGAACCTGTGCAGCGCAACAAACTCACTGCCTTTATTCAGGCTGTGCCAGACAGAGATGCTCAGAGAGAAAAAGCTGAGCTCTCCAGCACACAAGTGCACACAGAAATGCCTCAAGATTTAGGAAGAAAGTTATCAATTCTGTTAAATGATGGCAAAAGCTATATGGATGATTCCCTGCGGTACATCCTTGTCACAAACAGATGTGAGCAGGATAATCTGAACTATATCAACTTTCTAATGCACCTGAACATTTTCTGTGTCTTTGACTTTGATGAACATTCCAATGTGTCAGGGCTCTGCAGCAAGTACAAAGAGCACCATGAAGCAAGTTCTTACTTTTTACAGGATTTTTTCAATGAAATTAAGGCTGATACCCCTCCCTCTCAGAAACTGTTTGATCAGACCAGCTGGATATTCTGCAATGGGCGCAGTGACTTCCTCGGGGATGAAAAACCTTGTGATGAAAACACATGGATTAGAACGAAAAAAAAATACCTTAAGAAAGTAATTACTTGTATCTGTGAGGAAATCCTGCCACAGAGGTCTTTCATTGTGCTTTTCCTATTGCTATCACCAGTGCAAAAACCACTTGTGGACACTTTTCAGGAATTCTATACAGAGATGAATGGCATGGAGTACATCATTTGCATTGCAGAGTCCAGAGAAAATTACGGGAGGTGGGCTAATCTGGCTCAGGCATCCTGCAGCATTGAGACACTGGAACAACGCAGTGTTGTGGGCATGAAACTCAGTCACATCGATGCCACTGTCCAGGCAATGCTGCCTTCCACAGCTCAGCCCAGACACCTGCCCGTGTCCACTGGAGGGGTGTGTATACTTCCCTCGAGGGAAGAAGAGAAACTCTAC